GTTACGTAAGTCTTCGTAAGCTCGTCGTAGGTGTAGCATTATTGCATTTAGACATCTAAGCAGCTCTCAGCAAAAAAAACAAATCGGATCAAAACAACACATGAACAGTAAACATTTTTACAGATCCTTAATTTGTCTTTTTTTTCTGAGAGCTCCTCAGATGTCCAAATGATTTGAAAATCGGAACGGATCTCACGCATCAAATTGTCTACCGCACATTTTTTATAGTATTTGTTTCAATCTTTTTCGTCACCGCGGGTGTAGATGAGCTCGGGTGTAGAGATGGATTTCCCCCCTTCTCTCCCCTGTTTCCCTTCACTTTTTTTAGGGGAAAGGTTGCACTTATATTAAAAAATATCATCACAATCATTACAATCAGATAGCACCGGCACCGCCAAATCCAGTGCAAGTTACTGAGACTAGAGGATGGAGATCTCGGCAGACAACACAGATTTTCCATTTTGATGCTGGGTTGACCATGCCAATAGATGAATGGACGAACTGAACAACCAACTAAAGACTTCATTTTATTTTGGTGAAAGTTACAGATAAGCATACCAGTCACAAGAATGTGCCCCTCGTCATTGCCTGTGTTTCAAACATAGTAATATTCAATATTTGCATAAGGCACTAAAAAAAGATGCCACCTGTGTGTGATTATCTAGCTACATTACAATTAGTTTTGTATGATTTGACCGAGTAATTGGTGGGAGTATTGTTTGTTCCTCCCCTATCTCCCGGTATTACAATTTGCTTGACCTTCCCAATTATAAAGAAACACAATTTTAAAACCACACAAGATAGTTCAAAAACAATCGACCACTGGGGAAAGACATAGCAAAGTGTAGTCTGCATCTTACATCTTGTATTCAGAAGTATATCCTACATTTTGCCTGCAAGGTGTGTTTCTTAAAATATCTCACATCTACATGTTGGCCTTAAAATAAAAAGGCCGGAGAGAAGATGAGGCCATATGGACCTTGAAGAGAAAAATACCACACTTATTTGGTGAAGGTAAAAGGTGGTAAAAAAATGTATTCTTCCTCCTATTTTGAAACAAGGCATAAAGTTTGTATGAAACCGAAATGTGAGGTCAAGCGGCGATGGCCAATCAGAACAACTCAAGTTCTACAGGGCATGGCACTAACATTATAGCTAAGGGTGTGCCCATCTGGGCCGAGGATTGGATGGACTACAAGGTGGAATATCGATCTAGGAGGGCACTTCATGCCGCACCGTGCGCGAAAAGGCACACGGTGAGGTGGGCCATCGTCTTGTTTCTGACTGGTTGCATAAGGCATAACTAGGTGCATGCAAAAGGCCCCTGACATGCAAGTCGCCCGGCTTCCATCAACGATCCTGGTAAGACAACCACATGAAAAAAATTAACCCTGGGGTGGTAGGTCTTCTGTCTTAACTCCTAAGAGCAACTCTAATAGAATCGCCAAATCCTCTAAAACTTAGGGTAAATAATATATGTCACTCTGGTCACCCCTCCTAGATAAACTAATTACATAATGCTCTCCTCCCCACCCATATAGGTGAAGTGACATGATATCGACGCTCACACATCACCACCAAATAATTACGCCACAACATGATACCGAAACATAAAACTATATGCAACTTCATTGGTTATCAAGAATAGCGGTTTCTCCTCAATCCTAAAAAATGTAATGGATTACTCACATGACATCATAATGAACATGATGGATGGGAGTAATGGCGTGAATAACAATCTGAACATATATAATCTTTCCCCAATAATTCTTCTAGCATCAACTACTAAGCAACAATTAGCATAAAGGATCTATAGCAATTATTCATAGATTACCGAAGATGGAGACATGGTTATTGTTGTAGATGGGGATGAAGATGATCAATATGATGCCTTGAGTGTTTGATGACAATGGCTTTGAATTCCCCTGCTGGAGGAGATAGATCCTCGGCAGAATCAGGCCTCCGGAGAGAGAAGGGTGCTCTCTATTCGCACCGATGGCGTAAAGTCATGGAATATTCAGGTTAAGGGTTCCAGGGCAGTATATGACCAGGGGCTCCCTATGGGCCCCACACACTCTAGTGGAGAGCCCCAAGGCATGTGCTACGTACTGTGGGGCCCATAGGCCTCCCCCAGGCATGGGCATGGACCCCTGGCTCTATCTCTTCATGCACATTGGCAATAATAAATTTCTATAGTTTTTCTGGCTCCTCGAGAAATAATAATAATATTTTCTTCATTTGACCTTCTTTTGATCCCTTTTGAAAGTTTGCCGACCCCCGACCCCCCCCATCATATTGGAAACTTGCAAAAATAAAGAGAAAAAATGTATAAGAATGATGCCATAATGTATAACACATGATTAAAAAATGAGCATTTTACACTAAGAGATAGCGATGTAAAATGGGCGTATAAGATGTCATACATGGAAGTAACTAAGTATGAACTAAGCAGTGATGAGTTAGACATGCTAGAAGAGTGATATGCCAAAGCATATAAATTACTAAGGAACTGAACTGGATAGTGTACAGACAAAGTCTTCACATAGAACAAGCAAAACACAACTTAATAGAGAGTTAGAACAGACAGATAAACACATATACAAAGTATTCATAACGGACACAATGTAGGACAAAAAGAACGACCAACCAATAGGAGTGAAAAAATCCCCGAAACACAACATAGTACAAAATGTAAAGGGTATGAGGAAAAAGAACCATATGATTTGTGAAGGCATGATGATTTGTTTACACAAGTTCAAACTATTAGCAAAAATTCTAAGTCTTGGTTGGAGAGGATGAGCACACCGCTTTGAAGACACACAAGTGCTTGCCTTGTTCTCTTTGAGGTAAGTTATTCGGAACTCGCCCAATCACTCGGGGTAGATTTTGTTGTGATCTTCAGACCGATAAAAACTTGTTTTTCAGTGATCCACACTTTGGATGCCTGCAGAATGATGCCTAATTGTGTGGAGAATGCCAAGTCCTCTAGAGTAAGGAAATCAAGCGATCAAGACCACTACTTACCAGTGATGCTCAACCACAACTCAGTTCTTGGCTCGAGTGGTTTCCCTAACTTAGCATTGGCCACAAAAACGGAGGAGGGGTGCTCTATGTAGCATGGGCAGAACGAAAATTGAGCAACCACCTGACTAGGCGGGGGTAGGGGGTATTGCCTTGCTGCTCCGGTGCGCTCCCATCAACGGGCTACCGACAGCTGGGACAACAGTTCAATTCGAACTGGTAGCGAACGGGTTCTGAAAAACCCGTGAAAACTTCAACAACAAGTTCCCCAACCCCCTGGCGAGAAAACTAACCCAAGTGACACGACAAACTCCTCTAGTTCTTCAGAAGCATCTGATTAAGTCACTGGAGCTAGTAGGCTCGCCTGGAAGGAGATTTCCAAATCTTCAGTCTTTGAGTAGGAAGGGTTATGACTGAGCGCACAATTTTTTTTCAATTTTGGTTCACTTTTGACCCCCCCTTATAGTATGGTTTGCCTATCAACTCAATAAATAGTTAAAGAAACTAGCAAATAAAAGTTGCTCCTCGGCTTCCAAATCATAATCGGGCATTATGAAGACTTCAATGTTTCCTCAATATTTTAAGGGGTTGTAAACCTTCGGTTAAACCAAATCCCTAGGGACTTAACACATGTGTACACTCAGTAAAACAAGGCACTAGATGCACTTACAGTTTTCTAGACACTTAGGCCTCTTTTGGTTCATAGGATAGGATTATCATAGGAGGAATTTTGTAGGAAATGAGATGGCATGTATCTCAAATCCTATGAGTAGGAATAGAAAATGAGATGTCATTTGGTTGACACCAAAGGAATTTTTCCATTGAGTCTAGGCTCATTTTTATTTTCCTATGAAATATGGAGGATAGGAACCAATCCTATGTAGGAATAGAAATCTATTCCTATGAACCAAAGGGCTCTAAAGGAAAAAAATCCTATAAGAATCCTATCCTCTAAAATTCCTATGAAATTCCTCCAAACCAAAGGAGGCCTTAAGGAGGGAAATTTCCCTAACCCCCCCCCCCACCATCAAAAGCCGTGGAATCAAGCGTAGCCGATGAAAATTGAGTGCCACGTTGGAAACTTAGGCCTTCTTTGATTTAGAGGAATCTTGTAGGAATTTCATAGGATAGGATTTCTATAGAAAAAATTCCTTTAGAGCTCTTTGGTTTGTAGGAATGGAATCCTATTCCTATGGAGGAATTATTCCTATCATCCACATTTCATAGGAAAATAAACATTAATCTAGACTCAATGAAAAAAAAATCCTATGATGTGAATCAAAAGGCATCTTCTTTCTTATTCCTACTCATAGGATTTGAGATACATGTCATCTTAGGCCTCCTTTGGTTCATATGGTAGAAAAATTATAGGAATAAAAAGTCATAGAAAATGAGATGACATGCATCTCAAATCCTATGAGTAGGAATAGAAAAGGAGATGTCCTTTGTTTCACATTATAGGATTTTTTTCCATTGAGTCTAGGCTAATGTTTATTTTCTTATGAAATATGGAGGATAAGAAGATTTCCTCCATAGGAATAGGATTCCATTCCTACAAACCAAAGATCGGGAGGAGGTGGAGGACTTTGCCGGAGAGGAGGGTGGGCCAGATCTGCTTGAGGTGAGAGACACATTGGTGGGATTCGCAGCACAAAACGAAGATACTCCTGGTAAATATTATAGGACCCTGATAAGTGCCACACGTGTGGCACAGACACATGGTAACTCCAAACATATTTTAATTGTCAAGCATGACAACTTCTTTTCGGATGACAAGTTTCAGTTTTGTTTGTTTGTTTTTTTCTTTTTGAATGGCAACTTTAGAAGTAAAAAAGTGAAGGCCGTAGTGCTTCATGGCACACACGTGACACTTGTCATTTGAGAAATTATATCCCATTGACGAGTGGATACCACACGTGGCAAAATTTGAAAGTTATCTTTTTTAGTGGCTCTGAGTGTAAAAGTTTACACATAGAGTGTGTAGCCTAAAATAAAAATAAAAATGGAGCGGCCTTCAAATCGATTTGAAGGCAACAATTTTGACTGACTCTACTAGAGTTGCTCTATTAGCTTGAGCCGACCGCTCCCTCGTGCATCGTAACAGCTCACATAACTGTACTGACCATTGTTCAAAAAAAAAAAAACTGTACTGACCATCCACAATTCAACGCCAAACGACGACGTTGGGCGTGGTGGTAAGCTACACCCTACGCACGCCAAATCTAAATAAGCATATTTACATGAGTCATTCAGCAAAGAGACAGCATACCACGTCGGATGTCGTGGTTGGCTTCTTGCCAGCAAAACTTAGAATGCTTCGGAGGATCTGTAAAACAAATCCCAATCATTCGTGCAGGCACAGCGAGCACATGCCCACTTGCTTGGTTAAGATTTGAGAAAGAACGGAATCAAGGCATACGTGATCTCCATGACCGAACATCAGACAACTTCAAGGAGACCATGTCATCCACTAACCTATACTATAAATAGGAGAGAAACGAGCCATTTGCTTCTCACACCTCCATAGCCCAAGCACCAAGAGCTTAATCTATCACTCGCACCTAGCAATTAGCTAGCTAGGTAGCGATGGGGCACACAAGGGCAGCGGTGCTAGCGGTGGTGCTCGCCGTCACCGTGCTTGGGCTTGCCACCGATGGCCAGGCGCAGCTGCAGAGCGGGTTCTACACGGGCAAGTGCCGCGGGAGCGACGTGGAGGCGGTCGTCCAGGGTATCGTCCAGGCCCGCTTCGCCAGCAACAGCGACATTGTCGCCCACCTCCTACGCTTGCTGTTCCACGAGTGCGGTGTCAACGTATGTACTCCTACGTGCGCGCCATTAATTCTTCTACTCCACAGTAAGATCGCCTAACGTGTTTGACCTGCGTAGGGCTGCGACGGCGGGCTGCTCATCGACGGTTACAGCACAGAGAAGACGGCAAAGCCGAACCTGAGCGTCAAGGGCTACGAGCTCATCACTGCGATCAAGACGGAGCTCGAGAAGCGGTGCCCCGGCGTCGTATCCTGCTCCGACATCGAGGTCCTCGCAACCAGAGACGCCGTCGCCGCGTCCACCGGGCGAAGATACGCGGTGCGCACCGGGCGCAGGGACAGCCGGCGGTCCGTGGCCACCGACGTGAACCTTCCCGGGCCGGATGACACGGTCCCCAAGGCAGCCGCTTTCTTCCGCAACCTCGGCCTCACCTCGGACGACATGGTCGTTCTCCTGGGCGCGCACACCGTCGGCGTCACGCACTGCAGCATGATCAAGAGGAGCCGCCTGTACAGCTACGGCGGCAGGGCCGGAGCAACGGACCCGAGCATGGACCCCAACACCGCGGCCACGTACAAGAGATACCCGTGCCCCGACACGGCGTCGTCCGACAACACCGTCCTGTACCTCGACGACCGGGCCAGCGCGTCCAAGGTGGACAACAGCTTCTACAAGATGCTGCAGCAGCGCCGTGGCGTGCTCATGGTCGACCAGAACCTCTACAACGACAGCTCCACGCGGTGGATGGTCGACAGGCTCGCCAACACCGACCACTTCAACTGGCTCTTCCCGCAGGCCCTCGTCAAGCTGGGGGAGGTCAAGGTGCTTACCGCCACGCAGGGAGAGGTCCGCAGGGTCTGCAGCAGGTTCAACTGATGAGATCATCATCGTTTTCTGAGGAGACATCAATTAATGGTGTGCCTTTTGTGTTTATTTCGGGTCTGATTGGTGATATTTTTTTTCTTCCCTTTTTTGGTTTTGGTCGGATTCATCTTGATGTACTTCGTTCTCTCCATTCATTTAATTTGTGTTCCACTGAACAATTTCTAATAACATGAACGACTGAGATCAACGGCAACATAATTGATATTATGCATATATAAGTACATTTCAGTCACATATCTCTACTATATAAAAGACTTAGCTAGTTGGTAATCATGGTTTTTTTACCCAAAGTTGGTAATCATGGTGCTTCTGACATCACTCACTTATGACTGTTTATCTGCATCTACCGCATGACTGGTAGTTGTGGTGTTGCAAGAGGCCCGTCACTCTGTTTCACATTTGCAGAAAATCCTTTGGTCTCTCGAGACCAGCCCCTTAGTGGACACACAACACACGGTCGCACAAGCTTCCTTCCGGTTGTGATATTTTCGATGTGTAGCAACATAGCAGCGGTTATTACAAAACATAATTGGTGAGGGAACTCTCAATGCAAATAGACATATAAAAGATGATCATACAAAACCATTCAATTTTGTTGGTACATAGGAACAATATCACATAGGACGGTTTTTGAGTGCTCGAGCTCATCTGCTCCTGTGGATGAACAGTAAAAAATTTAAAAATAGCAGACAAATTGAAAAGAAGTTAATTTTTTTGGCATGAAAGTTGAACAAGTTGTCTATATGCCTGCAAAATGTCATGACGATATGAAATGCGGACTGAAAAAATTGAATCTTTGAGAAACGTTCAAAATTTCGATTTTTGAGCATTGATTTTTTGTCCCGAGCTTCACCTATGTCATATGGTCATGAAAATTTGCACACACTGAAGGAAATATGCCCTAGAGGCAATAATAAAGTTGTTATTTATATTTCCTTATATCATGATAAATGTTTATTATTCATGCTAGATTGTATTAACCGGAAACTTAGTACCTGTGTGAATACATAGACAAACAGAATGTCACTAGTATGCCTCTACTAGACTAGCTCGTTGAATCAATGATTGTTATGTTTCCCAACCATAGACATGAGTTGTCATTTGATTAACGGATCACATCATTAGAGAATGATGTGATTGACTTGACCCATCCGTTCTCTTAGCACGATGATCGTTTAGTTTGTTGCTATTGCATTCTCCACAACTTATACATATGTTCCTATGACTATGAGATCATGCAACTCCCGAATACCGGAGGAACATTTAGTGTGCTATCAAACGTCACAACGTAACTGGGTGACTGTAAAGATGCTCTACAGGTGTCTCCGATGGTGTTTGTTGAGTTGGCATAGATCGAGATTAGGATTTGTTACTCCGAGTATCGGAGAGGTATCTCTGGGCCCTCTCGGTAATGCACATCACTATAAGCCTTGCAAGCAATGTGACTAATGAGTTACTTACGGGATGATGCATTACGAAACAAGTAAAGAGACTTGCCGGTAACGAGATTGAACTAGGTATTGAGATACCGACGATCGAATCTTGGGCAAGTAACATACCGATGACAAAGGGAACAACATATATCGTTATGTGGTTTGACCGAAAAAGATCTTCGTAGAATATGTGGGAGCCAATATGAACATCCAGGTTCCGCTATTGGTTATTGACCGGAGACGTGTCTTCATAGGATACCCAAAGGAGACTGTTGGGTACACCTTCTATCACAGATCCGAAGGCAAGATATTCGTCGCTAAGAATGCATCCTTTCTAGAGAAGGAGTTTCTCTCGAAACAAGTGAGTGGGAGGAAAGTAGAACTTGATGAGGTAATTGTACCCGCTCCCTTATTGGAAAGTAGTTCATCACTGAAATCAGTTCCAGTGATTCCTACACCAATAAGTGAGGAAGCTAATGATGATGATCATGAAACTTCTGATCAAGTTACTACCGAATCTCGTAGGTCAACCAGAGCAATATCCACACCAGAGTGGTATGGTAATCCTGTTCTGGAGGTCATGTTACTTGACCATGACGAACCTACGAACTATGAGGAAGCGATGATGAGCCCAGATTCCGCAAAATGGCTTGAGGCCATGAAATCTGAGATGGGATCCATGTATGAGAACAAAGTATGGACTTTGGTTGACTTGCCCGATGATCGGCAAGCCATAGAGAATAAATGGATCTTCAAGAAGAAGACCAACGCTGACGATAATGTTACTGTCTACAAAGCTCGACTTGTTGCAAAAGGTTTTCGACAAGTTCAAGGAGTTGACTACAATGAGACCTTCTCACCCGTAGCGATGCTTAAGTCCGTCTGAATCATGTTAGCAATTGCCACATTTTATGATTAGGAAATTTGGCAAATGGATGTTAAAACTGCATTCCTTAATGGATATCTTAAAGAATAGTTGTATATGATGCAACCGAAAGGTTTTGTCGATCCAAAAGGTGCTAACAAAGTGTGCAAGCTCCAGCGATCCATTTATGGACTAGTGCAAGCCTCTTGGAGTTGGAATATACGCTTTGATAGTGTGATCAAAGCATATGGTTTTATACAGACTTTTGGAGAAGCCTGTATTTACAAGAAAGTGAGTGGGAGCTCTGTAGCGGTTCTGATATTATATGTAGATGACATATTGTTGATAAAAAATGACACTAAATTTCTGAATAGCACAAAAGGATATTGACTAAGAATTTTTCAATGAAAGACCTCAGTGAAGCTGCTTATATATTGGGCATAAAGATCTATAGAGATAGATCAAGACGCTTAATTGGACTTTCACAAAGCACATACCTTGATAAAGTTTTGATGAATTTCAAAATGGATCAGGCAAAGTAAGGGTACTTGCCTGTGTTACAAGGTGTGAAGTTGAGTCAGACTCAATGCTCGACCACTGCAGAAGATAGAGAGAAAATGGAAGTCATTCCCTATGCTTCAGCCATAGGTTCTATCATGTATGCAATGTTGTGTACCAGACCTGATGTGTGCCTTGCTATTAGTTTAGCAGGAAGGTACCAAAATAATCCAGGAGTGGATCACTGGATAGCGGTCAAGAACATCCTGAAATACCTGAAAAGGACTAAGGATATGTTTCTCGTATATGGATGTGACAAAGAGCTCGTCGTAAACGGTTACGTCGATGCAAGCTTTGACACTGATCCAGATGACTCTAAGTCACTAACTGGATACGTGTTTTTATTAAATGGTGGAGCTGTCAGTTGGTGCAGTTCCAAGCAGAGCGTCGTGGCGGGATCTACGTGTGAAGTGGAGTATATAGCTGCTTCAGAAGCAGCAAATGAAGGAGTCTGGATGAAGGAGTTCATATCCGATCTAGGTGTCATACCTAGTGCATCGGGTCCAATGAAAATCTTTTGTGACAACACTGGTGCAATTGACTTGGCAAAGGAATCCAGATTTCACAAGAGAACCAAGCACATCAAGAGACGCTTCAATTCCATCCGCGATCAACTCAAGGAGGGAGACATAGAGATTTGCAAGATACATACGGATCTGAATGTTGCAGACCCGTTGACTAAGCCTCTCTCACGAGAAAAACATGATCAGCACCAAGACTCCATGGGTGTTATAATCATTACAATGTAATCTAGATTATTGACTCTAGTGCAAGTGGGAGACTGGAGGAAATATGCCATAGAGGCAATAATGAAGTTTTTATTTATATTTCCTTATATCATGATAAATGTTTATTATTCATGCTAGAATTGTATTAACCGGAAACTTAGTACATGTGTGAATACATAGACAAACAGAATGTCACTAGTATGCCTCTACTAGACTAGCTCGTTGAATTAATAATGGTTACGTTTCCTAACCATAGACATGAGTTGTCATTTGATTAACGGATCACATCATTAGAGAATGATGTGATTGACTTGACCCATCCGTTAGCTTAGATGGATGATCGTTTAGTTTGTTGCTATTGCTTTCTCCATAAATTATACATGGTCCTATGACTATGAGATCATGCAACTCCCGAATACCGGAGGAACACTTAGTGTGCTATCAAACGTCACAACGTAACTGGGTGACTATAAAGATGCTCTACAGGTGTCTCTGATGGTGTTTGTTGAGTTGGCATAGATTGAGATTAGGATTTGTCACTCCGAGTATCGGAGAGGTATCTCTGGGCCCTCTCGGTAATGCACATCACTATAAGCCTTGCAAGCAATGTGACTAATGAGTTACTTACGGGATGATGCATTACGAAACGAGTAAAGAGACTTGCCGGTAACGAGATTGAACTAGGTATTGAGATACCGACGATCGAATCTTGGGCAAGTAACATACCGATGACAAAGGGAACAACATATATCGTTATGTGGTTTGACCGATAAAGATCTTCGTAGAATATGTGGGAGCCAGTATGAACATCCAGGTTCCGCTATTGGTTATTGACCGGAGACGTGTCTCGGTCATGTCTACATTGTTCTCGAACCCGTAGGGTCCCCACGCTCAATGTTCGGTGATGATCGGTATTACGAGTCTATGTGTTTTGATGTACCGAAGATAGTTCGGAGTCTCGGATGTTATCATGAACATGACGAGGAGTCTCGAAATGGTCGAGACATAAAAGATTGATATATTGGACGGCTATATTCGGATACCGGAAGTGTTCCGGGTGATTTTGGAGAAAACCGGAGTGCCAGAGGGTTACCGGAACCCCCTTCCTCCCGGGGAACTAATGGGCCACATGGGCCTTAGTGGAGAGAGAGAGAGAGAGGGCCGACCAGGGCAGGCCGGGCGCCCCCTCCCCCTCTAGTCCGAATTGGACAAGGGAAGGGGGGGGGGGCGCCCCTCTTTCCTTCTCCCTTCTCCTCTCCTTCCTTCCCCCTTCCTCCTCCTAGTTGGACTAGGAAAGGGAGAGTCCTACTCCTACTAGGAGGAGGACTCCTCCCCTCCCATGCGCGC